TGAGTACACTCTCTATAGTACCTCTATAGAAAGTAAGGAGAATGGAGGATGAGAGATGTACCGTCCTCATCCAGTGCAAAAAATGCAAACGTTGCTGCACTCGTTTCACAAAAAATGTGGTGTTAAGGGACCAGGTCAGACTATTTGTTAACTGTACCCCTAGGAAACTAATGCTACTGACTGACTCCACAGCTATGTTATTAATAAAAAGTAGATTGTGACTATGCCGGTTCTTCCTAAAATCTATGATAATCTCCTTAGTTTTTTCCACATTTAGCACCAAACTATTTTTATTACACCACTCCACCAGACCCTTCATCTCTTCCCTATAAGCCCACTCACTGTCATCCCTGATAAGGCCCACCACCATTGTATCATCTTCATATTTCACAACAGGATTGGTGGTAAACCTAGCACAACAGTCATGGGTCATCAGGGTGAACAACAATGGGCTCAGAACACAGCCCTGTGGGGAGCCGATGCTCAGAGAAATAGAACCAGAGAATACACTATAGTGTATACGCTGTATACACTAGCAACTGGAACAGAGAAATAAAATCTATTTAAAAAGCATAATTGCAGTGCATAAGCCTACTTGACATCATTTCTTCCCCTCCATATTAAAAAAAAGTGTTGCTTCCCCAGAACAATGCAAAATGCTTCAAATGCCAGCGTGGCGTCAGCATAAAGACCTTAGAACTAATTCAACATGCCTGGAAAGATTCAGAGATAGCCTGAACTAGTTACTGCCATTTCCCACCTACCTTTATTAGCTTAGTAGCTGAGCAAACCATTCATAGAAGCACATTAAAATAAAATGAAGGCAAAAGCCAAAGATACTTTTGATTAAGCACAGCTTGTATAATCTACTGGCCTCTGATTTTCTACATCTGTTAACATTGTAAAAGCTGACACAATTTGTAAACAGTTTGGCAATTTAAGATAATTCAGAAACATACTATGGAGTACAGAGGGATCCTCTCTAAAGCTTCAGTAAAACCAATTCATTTACTGTGGCATGAATTGTCCTTTAACAAAAGTCATCTTAATCAGATGCTACTAAGATATCCATTTGGCCTACAGGAGACCCAAAGACACTTGGCAACATCTAATGAGATAAAAAGAACTGGCTTACAAGGCATTTCAAACAGGGGAGATAAACGAGGATGAGTTTTCTTGAGCAGTGTTATTCTTTCCATCCAAGAGGAATGTTAGAAATGAATTATTAGGTATTCCTCAACTTACAACCACAATGGGACCAGAATTTCCATTGCTAACCAATGTGGTTGTAAAGCAAGATGTCACGTGACCATATCACTTAGTGACCACAATCCCAGCAGTTTTAGTTGCCATCATTAACCGAGAATTGTGGGTCATTAAGCGAGTACCCACCCCAATCCAAGCCATTCCAGGCTTGGTCCCTCCCAGCCCTGAGCCTCAGTAAGGGACTGCCTCCCTCCCCACCCACCTATCTCTCCCTCCCACCTCTACCCTTTTGGCTGCCCTGTACCCTGCCTTGCAAGCAGCAAGCAGTCCCAGAACCATGCAGCTCTGAGGCTGCTTGCCACACCCCAGGAAGTCACAGCCATCCCAGCCCAGTCCCAGCTGCAGTCACCCTCATCATCCTGCACTCTGAGACCCCTGCTGCCCTCTGCTCTGCTGCCCCAGCTGACCTTTGCCATCTTCTGGTTCCTGCTGCTGACAAGGTGTGCCTGATCTGGCTGCTGGGCCAGGCTGGGCCAGCAGCTGCAGGAAAAAAAGGCCAAATGCAGCCGTGGCTTTCCCCCCCACACACTGAAATGCAAAAGCCCAGCCCAGCCCCACCTAGGAGCTTTTTGCAAAGGGGCTTTTTGGAGTGCC